TCTAGGAGTGAGGTCTATTACCTAACAAATAACCTAATGAACACATGTATATATAAATGTTTGTGTATCTACATATATGCATGTATGTATGTTTTTCATATTTATTTTAGCTTCTAATCTGTTGAAATACTGTATTCAATTTTATGTATGCATGCATGTGCACACGTGTACAGGCACACGCATCCCCCTACCCTCCCGCAAATATACATACACACATATTTGTGTACTGTTGAAATACTGTAGTCAATTTTATATACATATGCATGCACACATGCATACTTGCACACACTTCCCCCTGCCATCCCATATACGTATGCACATATATCTATATCCAACATGAGTAAATGTAAGAAGTAACATAGTGGCTGGGAACATAGCTGAATGGTACAGGTGCCTGCCTGGCAAGTGCAAGGTTCTGAGTTCAGTTCCCTATACAAAAAGAAAGTAACATAGCATGTTAGCAGAAATGAAGAGAGTCCAGTGTGATCGGAGTACAAAGAGCAAGAGGATGGTTGTTGGGAGAGACCAGATATTATGAGTTCAAGATTTGGTAATTGGTATTATAGGTGATTCTTATTTATTTATTATTTTTGGCGGAACTGGGGGTTGAACTCAGGCCCTCGCGCTTATTCCACTGAAGCATCTCCCCGGCCCCCTGGTGATTCATATTTAAACTACTTGCTGGGGGTGGGGAAATACCTGCTCAGGCCCCCCCTTGTGTCCCTCTCTCTCAGGACAGGAGCTTTCTTTCTCTCAATAAATATATTCTGCTAAAAAAAAAACAAAACAAAAAAAAAACTACTTGCTGACAAAATGAAATCTGGGTACACCATACGCTATTTTTATGTGTTTATAATAATGGTCTTGGGCTGGGGAGATGGCTCAGTGGAATAAGCGCTTCCCTGGCAAGTGCAAGGGCCTGAGTAAAATCTCTGGTTCTGGGAAAAAAAAAAAAAAATCCCTATAGAACATGAAGAAAAAAGAATTTAAAAAAAATAATGGTCTTAGAAAAGTTGCGCTACAAAAACATTCTTATTAGTGATTTTAAATCTGTGCCTCTTGACATAATAAAGATGCATGCGTTTGTAACCCAAAAAAAAAGATTCGGTAATTAGGAACTGGTCTTCCTTATAATTTTTCATAGGTGAATGAGAGCTCTGATTTTGAAATCCATATAACTATGTGTGATGATGATCCCCCCACACCAGAAGACTTGGAAACACAGCCGGATGAAGAGGAAGAAGAAAAAGTTTCTTCACCAGAGGTGGGAGCTGCCATTAAGATTATCCGGCAGTTAATGGAAAAGTTTAACTTGGATCTATCAACAGTTACACAGGCCTTCCTAAAAAATAGTGGTGAGCTGGAGGCCACTTCCTCCTTTCTAGAGTCTGGTCGGAGAGCAGATGGATACCCCATTTGGTCCCGGCAAGATGACTTAGATTTGCAAAAAGATGATGAAGCTACCAGAGATGCATTAGTCAAAAAATTTGGTGCTCAGAATGTAGCTCGGAGGATTGAATTCCGAAAGAAATAATTAACAATATAATGAGAAAAGAAAAATACGGCAGTTGAACAGTTGTGACCACTGAACTTTGGGAAGTTCTTACATTGAAACTGACACTTCTGGCCAGTGCTGCTATCGTTCTATGAGTGTCAGATTTTGCAGCCAAGCAGAGTATGTAGGAGGGAAAAAGTCACAGAAATTGGGTATATTTAGAGTTGTCCCTGGCAGGTATCAGTATGTTTATGAAAAGAAAATCTGAACCAGAAAAGTTGATCTAGTAGGTGATAACCCTTTGCTGGAATGGAAGACCAACTGTATTAGTGACAGGAGGTTAGTGACAGTCAAAAGAGAAAAATCAGGACCATAGGTCTTTTCACACAGCTTGAGTAAAGAGCTTTCAGTCCTTTGCTTGAAATTTGTCAGATTATAGTAGAATCAAATCCAAGAACTTGGAAATACAGAAACTTATGATTACATGGACTGTCCCAAACATTCCATTCCCCAGTGAGCTCTAAACTTCTAGAGCGTTTTGAAAATCCCATATTTGCTTTGCTAACTTAGTATTTGGGGCCCCTGATCTTTAGCTGTTGTTTTCTTGGAGCACTTCTCAGTCAAGTCTCTAGTATATGTTTCTTTACCTAGCACTCAGTTTTGTTTCAAACATAGACAAAACCCTAGAGTCTTAAGAACTATCTGTATTAATAGTTGTGTGTGTGTGTGTGTGTGTGTGTGTGTGTGTGTGTGTTGTTTTTGTTTTGGTGTTAGGAATCAAACTCAGGATCTTGCACTTGCCAGGCAGGTGCTTGTGCTGCTGAGCTATATCCCCAGCAGTAATATGGTTTTTAAAAATTTATTGAGCGTAGCTTTGTGCTAAAGCTTATGTAGACTTAAAAAAATTCATGGATTGGTTCTTTGTTGTGTTGTTCTCATTGAAAATAAAAAGAACTTTGAATCTCATCAAAAAGTGTTTTCTTTCTTTGTATACACAAAACTTTTACAAAATCATAGAAGAACTAACCTTTTTGGCTGTTAATGGTTAGAACCAAAAAAGTTCCACTTTAAAAGAAATAGACCATTAGGAAGATGCTTTTCTGAATGGAGCAAAGAGAAGATCTGCATCGGAATTATGACAAGTGCAAAATCAGAGGAGCTACTAGGAGCCTAAAGGGAGAGAAGCCCGTCAGGGACTAGCAGATGTGTAGTAGGTAGCAGAGCCCCAGCCTATTCCTTGGGACACTGCATGTCCCAGCAGGGACTACCAACTGCATTCTTGTCAATACCTGCTTGAGGCTTTCTTTTTGCTTAAAGCACTGTTGCATGAACACTCCTGGGAGCAGCCTTCAGCTCGTGGCCAGTGGTGATTAGAGGACTCACACCCAGCTTCCTTGCTGACTGGAGACATCACAACTGGATATTTGATACTGTCTTGAGAGGGACAGTGCTTTCCATGACATCTTAGGGCTTAGGGGTTTCCCACAGAATCTGGGATAGGTGCTCACAATGGTGATGTGCTTATGAATGTACTCTACATAGAATTTCTTGCCTTGTATCACTTCCTGTCAGGTACATTTTGGAATCATTGGGTGCAGAGATTCTGGTGGACCTGGAGTCAAGTGAAAGCCCTTCACCTGGTACTTGAGTACAGCATACTTGGCAGCGATAGAACAGTAGCTAACTATAATAGTAACTTTTAGATGCAGACTGGGAGTACATCATACGTGTTTAACTTTTAAAATTATTGAGACGGTTTTAATATAGTGCCCAAACTGTGTGTGTGTGTGTGTGTGTGTGTGCGCGTGCGTGCGTGCATGCGTGTGCGCACGCGTGCAGGGTCTCACTATGCAGCTGTAACTCATAGTGATCCTCCTGTTTTCAGCCTCCCCAGCACTGGGATTACAGGTGCGTGCCTCTACACCTGGACCCCACCTCTGGTTCAGTGCGCCTGGCAGTGCAGTATGTGGTGCCAGGGATCAAGTCCCAGTCCCTGTGCTTGGGTAAGCAGGCGCTTAGTCTGCTGAGCTATCTCGCCAGCCCTCCCAAAGTGGTTTTGAATTCATGGGCTCAAGTTGTCTTCCTGCTTCAGCCTGTCAAGTAGCTGAGACTTACAGGCATGAGACACTCTAGTTGGCTTAGGCATTTGTTTAAATTGTTCTTCATTTGGATAGATTCTAGGGTGGTTAAAAATTAACTGCTTTAGATAAAAAGGTGTCATCTAGAATGTCTATAGTTTAGTAAAATTATCACAGCCTACTGGCTTTACAGGGCTAGAAATTCCAATATTGTAAAATATGCAAAATGATGTAATTTATTATACCCAGACTCTCAAAAGGCATATTTGGACAAAACACACCAAGACAAACTTGTAGGCTGTATTGGTGTAATTTCTTTCATCATTTCATCTCTTTTGGTGGGAGGCATAGGTCAGAAAAATATAAATAAAATGTATGTAGTGGGGTGGGGTGGTCCTATAGTCCCAGCATGTGGGTGACTGAGGCTGGAAAATTGCAAGTGTGGGCCCAGTCTGGGCAACTTAACAACTTCATGAGACTGTCTCAAGAAAAAAAAGTCTGGGGACTGTAACTTACTGTGAAGACCCTGGGTTTAATTCCAAGTACTAGTTATGTATGCACACACAGGTATGTATGTCCATGCACACACATCAGAAGTCTTGGGGGACACAAATAGAAGCAAGGAAAATGGGGCACATCTTAATGGCTCGTGACACTGAGCTACAACCGCATCTGCAAGTCCTGAAGTATAATTATTTCTCCCTTGAATTGCAGACTGCCACATCTTCAGGTTTTTCTTTTGTAGGCTTCATGAGTGTGGTGCTGGTTTTCTGTTTGTGTCCTACCTTTCTCCAGGGAAGGACCCATTCTAGCAGAAATAAATCTTTTTCTTGGGCTATCCAATTCCAGTTTCCCTAGCTCCTCTTAGCTTGGTTTGCCTGGAGTGCCATAGCAAAATACTACACATGGGATAACTTAAAACTTAGGAATTTACTTCCCAGAGGCCAGAAGTCCAGGAACAAAGTGTAGGTGGGCGTGGTTTCTTCTGAGGCCTCTTGGCTAGGAGATGGCTACCTGCTACTTCTGTCTATCAGTATGTGCCAATTTCCTCTTCTGCTAAGGACATCAGACAGATACAGGGCCCGTGCAAATGGCCTCCTTTTACTTTAGGTGCCTTTTTACAGATATTTTCTTCAAATATAGTCATATATGGAGGAACTAGGCATTAGGATTCCAACATATAAATTGAGGTAGGAAGAAGGTCACACAACACTGCTTCGGGGGCTAATTGGTAATTTAAGCTTCAAAGATCAAACCTCACTTCTGCCTGCTTTGACCAGTGATGGTGCTCCAAAATCCACATGACCAGGGCTACAACCAGTGTGTCAGATTGGAGGCCTCATATTTGACACTTTCAGTTTGCCCTCCCTAGGCACTTGAGGTCTGAGGACACAGCAGTAAGCAGTGTGTTAGGTGCCCTGGGCCTTCTGGTGGGTATGAGATCTGTGCAGGTGAGCTGGACAGAGCTGGCCTGCCATCTCAGCCTGTACTTTACTAAGCCTCCACTTCTCAGGGGAAGTCTCAGTGCCCTGGGAACCCTTTGTGCAGTGACCGGGAGCACACAGGTGCCACTTAGTGGAGGGGCGTGTATTTGCTGGTCTCTGTCACCATGTCCCTTGGCGCCTAAGACCACTATGCTATACAAGACTTTCCCACAGGTAGTGTTTCTCTGAAAAGGTTAATGTCTATCAAATCAAGAAGAAGCATGGAATGGAGCTAGGTATGTGCGCGTGGCTGCTGCAGCAGCACAAACCTGGCCTTCCACCCCACTTTGTGGCTGTTTCTCCACCTCTCTGGGCCTCGCTCAAGATGGGTCTGCTCATCGGCTTTGGTGAGGGGGCACCTTGACATGTTCTGGGTCCCATCCCGACTAAGATGTGCACTCCCCCATGACCCAGAGTGCATGCTGGCATGTTCGTCTGCTGGGGCATGAGCAGGAGTAACTTTGCATTTCGGCTGGGCCAGTTCACCAAGGAGACACAGCCACAGCACTGTCAGAACAACAGGGCCAGCTTTGTGGGACTGCTCAGCCTGCGTGGTATCTGGAAAGTGAACAGGGAAGTCTGATCAATGACACCCCAAGTACAACAGCCAGGACGAGCACCTGTGTTTCCTGTGTGGTCAGGAGCAACTCCTGGAGATCAAGAGGAAAGTGTCCAGAGTGTTCACTCTGAAGAGTAAAGACAGATGTGCCAGGACAGTGTCACAATGTCACTACACTCCTGGTGAAGGGAAGGGGTATTAATGAACTCCAAGCTTCTGGTTATGGAATGTGAATACAAGACAAGCTATAGGTGGCCCACCTGGGGCAGAGGCACAGCCCAGTAGCAAAATGTCATCCACAAGCTCATTCGGTTCCTGACTCAGTGGTGCGGTTGAACAGGGTCTTGTGGGCAAAGAGCAAACTCTTTCTGATATTGAATAGCAACTTAGCACTCTGTGCCCAAATACACCTGGCAGTACCAGGTGTATGGCCCAGGCCTGCACTCAGCTCCTTTGTCTGTCTCCAGCCCATCTGGTCTCTGCTCCCCAGACTCTGTGATGTTGCTGAGCTAGCTCCTACCTGCCTTTGGCTTTTCCAGGTGTGAGCATAGATGAGAATCTCCTAGGAGAGGGGCCGTGTGTCTCAGGGGGATGACTATGGCAACCTCTCCATCTCCCTGCTGAGGGCACTGAGCCCCCAAACTAGGGACCCCAGTGACTGTCTCCTAGTGGGCTCAACAGAGGCCAGCCAGAGTGGGCCTATGACCTATCCCACACTAGTGCACAGAGCTGGGCTTAGGAAGGTAGGCACCATCCCAAGGCACCCTTGGTTGGCCAGCATAGCCCAACCAGGGGGGCAAAAGGGAGAGGCTGGGGCTGAGTAGTACCTCTGGTAGGGAAAGCCCGAGTGTTCCCTGGGCTTGCCTTTGCCTTGGCTGTATGTCTGGTTTTTGTTTTGTTTCGTTTTTTGAGACAGGATCTCACCATGCAGTTCAGGCTAACTTTAAAGTCATTATGTAGCCCAGGCTGGCCTGAACTGGTAGTGATCATCCTGCCCCAGCTTCCTGAGTGCTGGGATTACAGGCGTGTACCACCACGTCTGACTTCCCTGGCTCTGCATCTTCTTGTTCAGTTTGGTCGAGGCTTCACAGCTACACTTGGACTAAGTCTGCAGGTTGTGCATAGTCAGAAATGTATTTGGATGCTTACTTCTATAAAGGTACACATTAGTGTCTAGGAAACATGTTTTAGACAGGCAGAGATCTACAAATAGGCTTTAAAAAAGAAAGAAAACTTATAAAAAGCACAAATAGAAGGCTGGGAATATAGCTCAGTGGCATAGCACCTGCCTGGCAAGCTCATGGTTCTGAGTTTGATTCTCAGCACGCACACAAACCCCCCCTCAACAAACAAACAAACAAACAAACAAAAAACCCCAACAACAACAAAAAACCAAAACCACCACCACCAACAAAAAAACCCCAAAGAACAAACAAACAAGAACAACAAAAAACCCCATACATATATAAAAAACCAGGTATGGCACTTGAGAGGCTGAGGTAGGAGAGTTCAAGGCCATCCAGGGCCATATGACACAATCCCATCTCAAAGAATTGAAAGC